CAGTCTTATATCTAATACTAAGTTTAACTTCTAATTGTCTTTTACATTAATGAGCGGAAACATTAGCCTGGATGTAGGAGTCTTTTCAAAAGTTTTAAGTTGTCCTATGATCTTTGATGACGCAATTGGAAATACTACCTCTGGTCCAATTATAAAACCTTATTTATAGTTTATAAATGAGATCTTATAAATAAGACTGGAGGTAACAACTCCTATTTAGTTAATTGTATTAAGTCATAAAGATATATCATTAACAACTCAAATATCGAAGTTCTCGTTAAGTTGAATCTCTTTCTTGATCAAATATAAGAACCAAGAACCAAGAAACTATGACTCTCCAAATGAAACCATACTTAAAACACAAATACGCATATTCATATGTAAAAGAGTGTAAATAAACCCCACAATCTCATTATTATTAAGTGACATGGAGCCAAAGAAAGCTTATACTATCATTTGTGAGGCCACCCAATATTCAACGACTCATTGTGGAAACAATTGGTGGTTCCACTCCTTCACTCTTCCACTTCTCCACATTCCCTTCCCAACCTTCAATCAAATAAAATACAAACATCTCACAATAACAAATAATAATAATAAGAGTAAAATACTCTCACCACCCTTCTGTTTTGGCTTAATTACACGGACCTCTTTTCTATTTTGATAACATACAATTTAGTCCAAACCATTAACACCATTAAAGAATATTCTGGAAAGATTCTTTATATACATTTTTTAATTAAAAAAATATTAGAATAAACCTTGTTTCCTACTTTACCTCTCATTATATTAAATCTATAGTTTATCTTTTAATATTAATATTTATTAATAATCTATTTGATATTTTACTAAATTTAATAAATTAAGACATAACTTTATAATTTTATTGAAAATACATATATACAAGTGCAAAGCATTTTTTTACTAATATATATTTAAAAAATTACATCACAAGTAAGTTTAAATAAATAAACAAGATTTGTTGTAAACTAAAAATTTGTATTTATAAAATTAATAAAATTTATAATATGGTGATCAATTCAATAGTATAACAAAAAAATTAAACTATTTATTAAAATTATTTTTTAATTTCAAATAAAGATGTATGATATGTCATTAAATGATAATTATTAAGTAATATTTGTATTAAGAAGGGGCAATTTGGTCAAAATAATGAGTCAATCCTATGATTTAATAGTCAACTAAAGGATAAGTGGATGGGAGTTGAATCTCAAAACTAGAAGGGAGGTTTATGCAATATATATTTTGATTTTAAGGGAGGTCTATATAAGTTTTCAAAATAAAAAGTAGGTCTTTGCAATTTAGGTTAAAGTGAGGGGAGCTTGATGCATTTTACTCTAATAATAATGATAATAGATAATCAATGATGGATAAGCCAGAGATGGTTTCTTAAATATGTGTCACCTTAATTAAGCAGGGTTTGGCTTCCCATAATTCAAAATATAAGTTACCATCTACAATTTGTAAATGATTAAATGATTTGTCCCCAAAATACTCTTCACCACACATGTTCAGGAAAAACTATGCATTGCAATATAATTTAGAAAATATTTACAAAAAGAATAAACTTTAACGGCCTTTTTTTTAATGTGTGTGTGTGGTAGGATTAGCTAGTTACCCAAGTCATCTGGTGGAGCGTTACTATGATTCAAAATATAAGTTACTTAGACTCTAGTGATGAGACAAAATACCCTTCGTTACGCATGTTGAAGAAAAACTATGCATCATTAGGGCCAATTTGGAAACAAAATTAAAATTTAGAAAACATTTACTAAATAAATCAATTTTAACAACCTTTCTTAATAGGCAGGTACTAACGAGTAATGGCTTAAATTATTTGAGACTAGAAGTAGTAAGTAATATTTCCTGTGGTTTAAAGAACTTTTCTGGTATGTGTTCCCATTCATAAGCGACGCTAAGAGTTTATTTGTCTAAAATTCTTAATATCAATTTTTTTAAAATTTTTGTCCCCATTAATTATTCACAATTTGCAATGAATTATTCACTCATACTCTATCTCCATAAATAAAAGTGTTTTTCAAACAATAAGTTGTTTTTCCTTATATTTATTATCTCTAACTAACTTTAACTATATATTGTTAAGTTAGTTATTTGTATCTGGTAAGAATGAGAGGAGGGAGTAATAACTGACATAGAGCCTGCGCACAAGGAAATAATAATGTAGAGATGAGAGAAATAGATATGATAATACCGATGGAAGGATCAATGCCACGATTTTTGAGCTCATTGTACTGTTGGGTTAGAGTACAGGCAGCAAAGCAACAGCAACTAAGTAAGTGATCGGAAAAAGGCTCTTCCGGCAGCGAAAACAGTCGCCGGAGTTTTGTTCTGTAGATCGAACCCATCAGCCATGACATTGCTCCGCCTCCCATACAACAATACATACAGCTCGCCCCATATTTTGCTGCATCCATCCATCCGTGCCCCACCAAACACAAACGTTAACTTCATCACATGAAACATTAACTAACCTACATTTTCTTGAAAAGAACAAAAACTACATATGATTATGAAGGCCTTACGTGTAGTTCCTGCATCAACTATCTCTGCAATTTCACCAAATACGTAGCATGGACAACACCCTGCGAGAATACCTGCATTTGTAAACATAATATCAACACAAATATTAACTACTTCCATTATTCAACCGCTTATTATGCATGCATAATTATAATTTTTCTTTAAAAAATTATATATAAAAGATAAAAAGATCGGAATTTACAGTGAGAGGGGTCCTTCCAGAAATCATACAAGCCTGTGGTCCATTGTCCTTTGCCAGCCATATTTGCAAAACTTAATACGTACTAGCAAAGATAGATTCAGAGCCGAATAATGTGTGTAGGGTATTACGTATATATACAGTACAGAGAGGCATACATGTTTCAGACTTACCCTAGTTTTTAGTTATAATATATTAACATTATTAACTGTTAATTAAATTGAAAAGGTTACGTTATTTGGCTCCTTGGCCTTCTCAAAGTGTAAATCAGTCCATTGAAAGAGTCTCTAAAGCTTTTGGTCCGCAACAGTTTTCATTCGTGTAGTGTATAACATGTGGCAACGACCAAAACCTCCACATTACCTCGAAGGTTGCTTTTATTGCTATGTTCTATTTGACAATTTGACCTTTTTACATCTGAAATGCTTTCTTGACAAAATTTATTTTCACCATTTTATATATACTTATTGGTTTATACAAGTCAAGTTGCTAAAAAAAAAAAGATATTTTATTCCGAGTTAGAAAATTATTATTATTTTAAATAAGACCTGCTGGTCGTGTGGATTTATTAAAAATAGCACGCAAGTTCACAAATTTATCAATATTGGGCTTGAATCTAGAGTGATGAAAATATGATAACTTCATTCTACCATGACACGTGGCGTTGGTAGGTGTTAACATTTTAAAAATAGTTTTTATACAAGAGCTTAGATGATGAAATTTTGTTCAAAATAAATTATTGTTGTCCTAAAGAAATGAAATTTAAATGATCTATTCCACTCCATATAACAATCTCAAAGCACAAATTGATCTGTTGAGGAAAATCACAACTACTTGATGAAATAGAAGGTCAAGCTTTGGGAATATGATAATGACAAAAAATTTTACGCTGCTTGAAAGGCTAATTTGTTATCGTGTGTTGGATTTAAACTATTTTAGGCGATCCAATTTTATTTTTTTTTCACTATCTTGAAAGAAATGTTGAATTGTTAAGTTGTCTTCTCAATTTTATAAAAATAACCTTCCTTTTAAAAAAGTAAATGGCAATGTCAACTGTGCCCCCAGAAGTTGTGGTTATTAACATTAGAATATTCTATAAAACCAAAAAAAAATGCAACATCAGAGTATTCTCATTCTTAGAATATCTTATTTAAATAATATATTTATAATATAAAATATATAAAAACTGCATTAATCATAAATTATGAACAACGTTAACCAGTTTAGACTTCGTGGCTTCGTGCAAAGTATGCAATATTATTTGAGACTATTAAGATAAAACCATTGTCTTGGAATTAATTTTAAAACTGAAAAAATTGGACGAAGACATGCAAATCAACATATTTATTCATCGAAGTAAGAATTAATTGGTAAACTTTGAACGGATTTACGCTCGCATTCACTCTTTCTGCAATGCATCTCTGCATTTGAACAATTCTTAAAACTAATATCATCCAAATCTTACAGTATTAAATAGAAAAAAAAAAACTGAGTCCAAAAAAAAAAAGGAAAAAAAAACATTGGAAAAAAAGTATAAAAACAAAGGCCCCTCATTATATTTGGAACATGAATGTTTTAATTGCTGTCCTACATGATCATGTGATGAACCTTGAATCATCATTCAATCCTGTTAGGTTGTTTTATTGAAGGGAAAATTGCAATAAATATAAAAAAATCTCTTAAAATCATGAAATTATTAAGGATTGACAACTATCACGTATTAACAACTCATGCATTACATTTTGTAATGTGCTGAAAAAATGTGTTGTCAATATCTATTATAATAGTTGTTAATCTTTATAATTTAAATTGTCAACAACTACTTTTTTAGTTGTCAACACAAATTTAAAAAAAAAATAATAATAAGAGCCATTTGATAATTTTAAAAAAAAAACTCTCAAGACTTCAGAATGATATCATGATTTCAAGAGACTTTTTTGTATTTAATTCTCTTAGATGAGTCCTAATTGCAATTTTCCTTTTATTGAATCTGAGTCGTCATATTCATTATGAACCATGCGTTCTTCCTCATGATTTGAACCCATTTTTTGATTCAATCTGTAAATCTTTCAACCTTAGTTTGAATCCCATACAATACAATCACTTATATTGATATGTGTTAACTGAATTTATATACAATACCATTCATTCTTACAAAACACAATAATTTATAAAAAATTATCTTCACGAAGGGAGGAAGGCAGGGAATTAAACATGATAGAGAGAGAGAGAGATTCCATGGGGCTTGAGATGGACCTGTCACTTGCCCTATCACATGAGCAGCCGAATCTATTCATATCCAGATACAGATGACAAACTTAGTCATGAGAACCAAAAATAAAAACTATGCAAAAACACAATCAACATTCCAACAATAAAATCAGATTATTTCTGAGGGGGGTAAAGAAAACTAATCCCATCAAGTGACGAGAGCTACTAGGCAACATTCAACACAACACGCCATTTCTCTTTATCTGGAAAAGCACCAAATAGTACGATATGTGAAAAGATTATCATCTCTATAGAACAAGTCTTCAACCTCAAGGCGTGTCAGATTCCTTCCTAGCTAGACATCATCACATGATCAATTGCCTGGAGTGCTTGGTTGGAGAAATATCTAACATCGACATCAGGATCCTCACTAAGCTCAACCAGACATGGACGAATTGTGTTTTCCACCACCTGAACGGCCATGATATTCGCAGATGAATGGAAGTGAAAGACTAAAACAAAGATAGCATATGACAAGAAGCACTACTTCCAGCAATCCAAAAATATGAAATGGGGAAAGGTCTGAGATACTTACAGGCTGATCAACAATGGGGAAGATTGACTCTAACACCTTTGCGACATTGAACTTGATATTGGGTACTCTACATGGAGCAATCAAGCAGCAATTAGAAACTTAACAAACACAGAAACCATATTGAACCTTGTACTATAGGATAAGAAAGAATCGTATTGAAATACTTGTCTTTTGATGCAGCAATGACGACAGGCAACAATTTTGAACAAGTGATTTCAGCGCCCATTACAGGAGCGAGAAGAGAAATAGCTCGAAGAATGGTCATTCGATACAAGTAGTGTGGATTGCTGATCATCTCCAAAACCTGTAAACAAATTTCCATACTGAAATTTCAGAACCAAGTAATAAACAAGTAACAAATGCCAAAACTAGATATTTCAACAGAGAGAAGCCAGGACAACAGGTTTTTTAGATGACGGAGAGATGATTGCACCTGTGGAATTATATGCTGCATAGCCCACTCAGGACCAAATTCTTCAGCAAGCCGCTTCAAGTTGTTAGCAGCCGCATCACGAATTGAATGAACCTGCATAAACACATTTAAGTTTTAACAATAAAGTAGGTACCCTAGGCTGTTTCACATCTATTTCTTCTAAATGTTTACTTTGAAATTTTAACACAACATAAAAATAGAATGGTTGGGTACTGATATTTTACAGTTCGTTTACTATTCAGTGTTATGGCTGTTAATACTCTTTTTTTTTTTTTGGGGAACTTCTTTTTTCCAAACTGTTGTGGTTCTGAAAATGAAAAATTCCCATGCAATGCATGGGGTAAATATACAACAACATAGTGAGAAAATTACATAAAATCCATTGAAGAGTATAGATATATAAAGTGCGATCCATGCACAATCACAAAAGATTCACACTAGGACAGATGATTAGTATACAGACCTTATCCTGCAACCATTGCATGCAAAGAGCACCTAGCTTATCATCAAAAAATCCTACACCCAATTGACTCGCCAGCAATGGGATATACTCAATTATCGCAAGGCGAACTCTCCAATGCCTGTCTTCAGCTAGCTCAACAATGGCTGGTAACAAAGACTGAGATAACAAATCGATTCCAATAACCTGCAGGAATGGATTGGTCAGCGTGACTAATAAAAAAGTTTGATTTCTCTGTATGCATTTCCTTCTGCATGTATGTAGTAGAGCCTTGGGGATAAAAGGATTTTCTTGAGGGAAGGGCGGCACAAAGCATAAGTTCTGTAAAACATAATCACTGGATGAAAAGGACAAAAAACAGCAATGAAAAAAAACACTCCATAACTAATCTAAACCTGATTCACTTGATCAAGCTTGCTGATGATGTTCAAGCGCACATCAGGAAATTCATCCTTTAGAAGGGAGAGAAAAATAGGAAGAAGCTGCTCAATTGTAGCATCCTGCAATCACAGCAATGATAGAATTGAAACTCATATTAAACCAGTTGATATCTAGAATAATTTCAGAGATTGCTATGTGATACTTCTACCTTTCCTAACACTGGTGCCATTCCCATAATTACTGAAGCCAAAGCAGAACGGACATGCTGCGAAGAATCTGATGACAATTCCTGCAAAAGTTGTTTGGGGGGGGGGGGGACGTATAATGTTCAATACTGAATTGCAGTACCCCAAAAAAGGAAAAAAAAAATCTACATACAAGAAGCAGCATTATACATCTGTATGACAACTTCTAAGAAGTATTCAAACCTTTACACAAGGAAGAATATGCTGGATAGCAAGTTCAGGATTTAAAATTTTGCAAAACTTGGTGACTTTTCCAGCAGCTGCAATACGCACTTCAGCCTCATTGTCTCGTAGCAGCCGAACATATGCAGGGACCAATTCATTTCTGGATAACCCATAATGATAAAGTAAACTCTTATTTAAACTTATATATTGCTAGGATTTCATATTTGGGTCACAGGAAGATAATGTTAATATTTTGGCATTAAAATCACACCCTAAACTAATGAACACATCATACTGACAGAATAAAGTAGTAAAATGAAAAGATATACGGCATGTATTATTTCCACCCACAAAATAATACCTGGTGGGTTCAGGGCCCACAGCCTCACATAGCTCATACAATTGATTGGCAACCATGTAACGCACACGCCAAGACTTATCCTGCCAAGGATCAAATGAAATCACAAGAAGAAACAATAAAAATATATTTATAATGAAGATTTTTCTGATACGCAGAAAAATTTGTATAACTGTACTGCATATCGGAAAAGAAAAGGAACATTACTGAGCGCATGCATACCTTCACAATCCAATAATCCATATAGCAGACATATGAATGATTTTTTTTTCTTTTTTTCTTTTTTTTGGGGGGGGGGGGATAATAGATATGATATTGTTATTAATATTAATAGTTTAAATGTACCTGAGAGAAGCTGACAATAACAGGGAGTATATGCGCAACACAGTCTTGAGGTTCCAAGAGCTTGCCAAGAGCAGCACAGCCCTCCACAGCCAACAATCTAACAGAGTCTTGATCTGAAATAATATGCATAGTACATATTAAAAACAGCATATATGACAGAATACTAGGCAATGGGACCCACAGCACATAAAACAGCCTCCTGGCCTAGATAAATGACAGAATCTCGTTCTATAAGGCACCAAATATACGCATTCAATTACCATCCTGAGTAAGATCCTCAAAAATTGTCATGATGTCTGACTTCAGATGAGGATATTCAACAGTTGCTGCAAATTTACCAAGGTTTGATGCAGCAGACCTTCTAACCATAGGCATGTCATCTTGACACAACTGACTGTATATTGACCTCAACTCAGTCTTTGATGTCTCTGGTGCACTTGAGTATGCAATATGAAATAGTCCACATGCAGAGACTCGGGCAGTAAACCATTCGCCTGATGCCAATCTCTGGAACATAAAGCATAGCATGTATTCAGCGTGATGTTCCATCAACATAATGGAATGGTAGGTAGCATTAACAGGATATGAACCACACAGAATAAATAAATAACATGAACTCAGGAAAAGAAAAGAGATAAAATAGTCACAAAAAATGTTACTATTGCTGCCAACTTGAATGTATGACATAAATAGCCTCTACGACCTAGGCAACATTCCAATTAACTTAGATCCATTAACCAATTTCTACTGAGAATTTAATATAATAGAAAAATAGTCAAGTCCACGTAAAAAAGCAATATAAAAAGTTGAAACCACCGATAGGAACCAGAAGCTGAATTAGAACAATGGATAAACACTGATGGCAAGAACGGAGCAGGTTTCACGTCACAACTCACAACATTCAGAATGGAATCAACCACAAGGTTATAACAAAATATCTATTTATTTGAAGAAAAGTGCTATCTAACCTTCACCAACGGGATAAATGAATCAACCAAATCACTCTCCCTCATTTGAGATCCAATTCTACAAAGAGACTCCACTGCTTTCTCTCTCACACAAGTTTCCTCAACAGTGCAAAGTGTCTCCAGAGGTGGGAGCAACACATTGGCATGTTCCACTCCCCCAACATAAGGAATAAATACTCCCAACTCTTCCGCCATTGCAAGAAGTACCTCATCATCATCATCATTGTTCTCACTTAGAAATGGAATTAATTCCTTACGAGTTCGATCCTCCCCAAGAGCACGTGCAATTGTTGATAGTTTGCGAATTGAATTCAAACGTAGCTGGATGTCATCATTTTTCAGCTCGTCAATGAGCACCGCTATTGGATATAGTGGTTCATCAACATTAGACATTTTGTTTCCACGATTTCTGGAAGAACTAAGAAATTAGTCAAGTTGCAAGAAGTGAAATATCTCAAATATAACCACAGCTTCAGATGATAATGATTAAAAATTAATACACACACCAGAAAGCGTTGGATTATTATGTATAAATCACCGTTTAAGTATGCTTGAATTTGGCAACTTTTTTCCTCTTTCTTGTTCCGACATATTGAATTGATCTTAAAAGGAATTTTGGGGGGTGGGTGGGGGGGAGAGGGGCATCAAGTTCCAAGTTCAGCTGAAGTGAAAATTAGCGATAGGAATTAATAAATTTATCGCTCGTCAACGAATAACCTATCAAACTAGCATGCCGCATCTATAACAATCTAAAAATTCCTCAAAACTCAAAGATCGGGAAATTACAGGCAGCCATTTAGTCCCAACAAGGAAACGAAACCCTAGTGATCAAATCAAGAAACTGGAAGGCTGTCGTCGAAAACAAGGAGATAAAAAAAAAAAATCCCTTCATCTTAAAGTCTATACTCCCTCTAGATTCTTAAGATAGTGGCAAGAATTGAAGAATCGATACTTTAAACCAAAATGTAAGTGACTCCAGAAACCCGTCGAATAGAACTTGCTCTCGAACTCGAGGAAAATAAGAAAACCCAGTTCATAAAGATCGAAAATTGCAAGCTTCTAGCTCCTCTCAGAGCTTTCCAGGAGCTAGACAGAGGGTGTGATCCAATGTTGCTCCATCAAAAAATTGAAGATCCTTCACCTTCGAGCTAAAGAATGCAAGAATGTAATTCCTATACCAATCATAAAATTGAAAAGCACCCGAGCCTCTTACCAGCTTTAATTTCTATGCCTCCCCGCCGGACGCCTCAGATTCCAGAAGTCGGAAGAAGACCCAGAGGTCAGAGAAAGAGGGAGACAAGTAATGAAGTAGATTTTCCTTCCAGTTTTCCTTTTTCTTTTCCATTTTCTTTTTCATATTTGTAAGGCCCATTTCATTCGAATTCAACTCTATTTACAATTGGGCTTTTTTCCTGAGCGTTTTGTAACTGTTTGGCCCTACAATATTTTTAATCTAATTATATTTTCGAGACTGAAACGATGTCGTAGAGCTCCACCGTTTCAAATACTCGCGTTCCTTTTTTTTTTTTGGCCCCTTTTTCTTTGGCCGGAACGATCCTTGCGCCTGATAAAGGACAGATTCGGGAATTTTTCCCGCCCATTTTCTTGCGTTCCAAACCATGCCTCCAAAGTCCGATAACTCTGAGGGTAAGATCATCGCCGGAATCGGCGTTACTCTTTCTTTATCGTTTGTTTTGCTTGCTTGAATCAAATTTGTTGAACTAAGCCTGCTTCTTTAGGCAGATACTCGATCATCTGTTTTTCGTTTTTTAAAATTTTTTGCCAATGCTTCTTTCCAATTTCGATTTGACGGTTTTCATTCGTGAATCTAACATTTCTGTCTTCCCTATGTTCTTCTCCTGTGAAATTTGCAGCCATCGTGTTGAACTTCGTAAATGAGGTAAGCCACCTATATATATGTTCAGTAATCGTTTATGCGGGCGTCGAAAGGAATCTGTCGTTAAATCAACGGTTGGGTTTGTAAAATTATGCTGATTTTGCTCGATTTTAGCTGATATTGACTGGAAGCTGTGGAAAATAGTCAGTTACTCGTTTGGATGAGCGCCCTCCTGCGATAGCTGACAGTAGTTTGTTAAATATAATGGTGGATCTGTGTGAGTAATCGAAAAACAATTTTGGTTTTCTTTCTCAGCAAAACAGGCCATTAAACGCTCAGAATGTGGCCGATGCACTGCAAAAGTTCAACCTCAAGAAGTCAGTCGTACAGAAAGCACTGGATAGTCTTGCTGATGGTGGTCGAATTTCATTTAAGGAGTATGGTAAGCAGAAAATATACCTTGCCCGGCAAGATCTATTCAGTATTCCAAACAATGAAGAGCTTAATAAGATGAAGGAACAAAATGCCGATCTGCAAAAACAGCTAGAAGAACAGAAAAAGGCTATTAGCGAGGTTGAAGGAGGTATGCATAAGTAAAACTATTCCTGTTTTCCTGACCATTGTCAAACATGTTACATACACTAGTTGTCGTGGGTCTGAGACCTACACGACGACAGCTTTGGTCGTGCAATTTATAGAAGTACTTGTTGCTGCAGAAATCAGAACACTGAAATCAAATTTAACACTGGAACACATCCGTGAAAGAGAAGCAAAACTGAGAAGTGAGGTAGCTAACTTGTGTGTTTATGAACTATTTACTTGCATTAAAGGTGCTTCATGGTATTGCAGTTAAAACTAAGTTACTCTGCGTCTTTGTAATACAGGTTGAAGAAATGGAGAACAAACTGGCTAAGTTGCGTGGAGGTGTAACTCTTGTGAATCCAGAAGAACGCAAGGCAGTTGAGGACATATTCTTGGAGAAATTAAGTCAGTGGAGAAAGCGTAAAAGAATCTTCAAGGATTTATGGGACACCCTGACTGAGAACTCACCTAAGGATCCCAAAGAATTCAAGGTTTCCCCCTTTTCTCACGAACCAGATGTACTATTTCATATTCTTCTTGCGTTGCTGATAGTTGCTTGTACTTTTTTCAGGAAGAGCTCGGATTAGAATATGATGAAGATGTCGGTGTGAATTTGCAGTCATATAACGAACTGTTGCAACGTGGTAAGAAGCGGCCAAGGGGGCAGTAATATATATTCAAGCCAAAATCCTATGCTTCCCCTTTCTAACAAATTAGGGGCATTAATTTCTTGGTGTCTTGTCTCACAGAACATGATAACATATTACACGTAACCTGTATTGTTTAATCCATATCAAGTTTTAGGTTTATTGTCTGTCAATTTCAAGCATAGCTCACTGGAGCATTGTCTGTGTCTCATAATATAGTGCAAAATTATTGTTTATATTTCTCTTCAGACCCCTACATTAGTCTCATGTATAGCATATTATCTGTAGACCGTAGGTGATAAAGCATTATGAAGCATAATTTTCAAACTCTAAACCTACTGATAAATGTTAATTGAGTTCCAGGTAATAATCTTGGGCACTATCATAATATCATTTTTCCTGACAGGAATTCCATGTGTCCCTTAATTTCCTCAATCTTTAGCTATGCTAATATTCTATATTTGATTGTTGATTCTAAGATGGAGAAAAAGACTATTAAAGGTTGATGGAATGTAATGTGCAGTAACTTCAGATTACCATTACCCTTAGGAAGCGAATTTTCATTCCCAGAAATTTCTTGTATGGCATGGCAATTATTAACTGAGATCTGTATGTCCTTGCCTAGGGAAAGTAACCCTTCACACAATAACGGAGAAGACCATGTTGAACGATTTCTTAAACTCACTCTATCCAAAACAACTTTGCCTTCTTGGGGGAGTAGAAGATTAAAAAAAATTAACAGACCAAGCAATCAACACATAGCCTAAGCTATTAACAAAACTTGAGAAGATGTTTAAGTGGAGCAGATCTATGAAAGATAACCAGAGTGAGTTATGTGAATACATGTAAATATGCTAGGGATATTTACACGTCTCTACAATCAACTTGCTCTGTTTCCTTTTGCGGATCTACTTAAAATATTCTCACAACATTCTGTCCTACATGAAAATTAACACACTACACGCTCTCGTCCTTAATCAAAATCCCCATACTCGTTTAGTCCTCACTGAAAATGGCTTCTTCAACTGTTCCAAGTTCATGGACAATGAGCTCTTCTTCTTGGTGGATCCTGGGTCTGCCTTCAAAATTGTATCCTCAGTGTCAAAACCAGCCACTTTACCATCATGACTCTTGGAAGATATCTGCTTCAAAGATTGTTTGCCCTCTTGTTCATAATCTGCTTCCTTCTCACTCTCATCGAAAACTGGTTCCTCTTTAACAGGACGAGCATCTACTTCTGCAACCACTGACACTGCAGCCTCTCTCACAGCTTCTTCTTTGTCACTCTTTTTAAACTCCTCACCTCGATTTTCTTTGACAATTTGCTCGTCTACCACGTGAGACATTGCTTCCCCAGAGTTACCACGACTGTCATCAGAAGTGTTGTGATCATCGGGGGGAGCGACAATTTCCCTGTCAAACACTTGAGAGATAATTACCCCAGAGTTAACATGAGCATCATCATCAGGAGTGTTGTGATAATTGGGAGGAGGATCGTGTGATCCAGATCGTGAGAGTTCAACTGCAGCTCTTGCAGCAGCAGCCGCATTCGCTGCTGACTCGAAAGCTGCTTGTGCTGCATCGGCTACATCCTTATACTTTTTCCTTGCCTCAATGGAATCAGGAAGCTCATCATGTTTTCCACCATTTCTTAAATTATCGATATTCTCCTTTTCTTGTCTATCAGGCCCTAGTTGGTTTTCATTTTTCACATTCAATGGTCCCTGCATTGGTCTCACCAAGCACCAAAGTCATTTGAACAAGTTTTATGAACAGGAAATCGACTGGTTTGATAACATTTAAGCTTTATATACCTCGACTATGCCAGAAGAGACTTCGTCGAGCTGCAGAATAATGTTATTCTCTGAAGCAATTTCTTTGACTGCCTTCATTCTGCTTTCCGGGCTTGGCATTCTCGTTGACAACTTCTGTACTATCTATAGGCATCCCCAACAAAGACGAACACTCATAAGCGTATGATTTATAAAGAAATTTCTTAACTGCATAACAGTTCTCTGCTGTTTAAGGAGCTTGCTTATTAATCCCAGCTCCTCAGAAAATTAGTAATATAAGTAGATCAAACTCTAAGTTACCCTTAAATAGACAGATTAAAGGTTGCAGAAGCAGCACAAGAATACCTGAAGAGGGACTCCACAGTTGTTGCGCAGCTCAATGGCACGAGCAGCGAACTCTTTCCCAAAGCGAGTGGTCAAGACTGTACGAATCTCTTGAAGTTCTGGAAATTCTCCACACCTTGAAGACGCATACAGTAAACCCGACGCAGCCTCCTTCAGTTCTTCTGGGCATTCTCTGCGTGTAAACAAACACCAAATGAACTCACAATCGAATTCAAATTTCTCAGTCACAAGTCACAAAGTGAACTCAGAGTCGAACCAACCTTTCTTCCTCAATGAGGTGGATCCTTTCGACTAAGAGGTTCAAGTACCCTTCAATCTTATCATACACATCCAGCAAGTTCTGCTCCTTGACCACAAGCTCAGCCTGTCAAAACACATACAACAAAAAACATTGAAACTGATCAGACAGCGCATTTATATCAGTATCGTTTCTTCATAAGATCTGAGAGATCTTACGCGAAGCAGAGCACGTTCATGGTAACCCTGTTGCAGAAGCTGGAGAACATCAGAATGGGCTTGTTTGAAGCGAACTTGACGCTGGATCCGGAGGACAGCGAGGCGAGAAACGGCGAGATTAACGAGTGGCTTGAATTTTGAAGCCTTGAAGGCTCTTCCAAACAGAGCATCACGCTTCTTACCCATATAGTCCCTGCTCTGCTTTTGGATGGCCCTGCCTCCTCTGCTTCTTTCTCTCTGATTTCGAGGAGAAGCTAGAGAGAAGGAAAATGAGTTATATATGAGAACCTTGAAATAAATTGTAATATAAAGGGTTTTCTTAGGAGAGAAGGATGTGAAGGGGACGAATGGGGAGTGAGTTCTGAAACGCGTTTAGTTGATGGAGTTTGAGGCGCTGCACTAGAGGTTTGTTCACACTTATTTCCAGGAAACTGCATGGAAATTTTAGCACTCGTTATGCCCCGCTTTATGCATTTTCCCAATTCGCACAGCTTTCGCTACATCTCTATATATATATATATATATATATATTAAAAAAAAGCGTTATTATTTATTTAGTTTTGCAAATAAGCTAAATAAATACCTCCAATGGCACTATTTTTACGTGAACTTGCGTTTTAATATAGGTTGATATTTTAGAGAAAGAGATCAAATGTCATATCAAATTGTAAGCTCCCCAAGATAATACCCATCTATGCATTGCACATGAAAGCGATAGACACGCACACTAAAATTATCTATATGTTGTATAATATACTACCTCCTCTAATAATTATAAAATCTCGTTTATAAACTACAAATAGACCTTATAATTAGAACATGAGGTAGTATAATGTCTTTTGGGCACATCACATGTTTGAACACTTGAAAATTAATGAAAAAATAAATATAATTTTTGGTTCTTTAAATTGGTTTTCATTTTGATTGTAGTCTTTTAAGTTTTAAACTGTAGACTTGGGTCTGTCAAATTTCTTTCCATCTAAAATATTGGTTTCAGATAAAGGACCAAAATGAAAATTCAGGCAAACTTGTGATATCAAAAATTGTATTAATCATCACAAAAAGAAATGAAAGAGAGTAGGGTGGGACAACCAACCAAAATGGAAAAAGGTGTACAAATGTACCATTATGTGGTAATATCAATCTTCAACTTTTCTTCCTCACCAACCTCAAAGTAAAGTCAACATTATACGCCTAATATTCTCCGGTTGTAACTTTTAAAGACTGGTTAGCTAGTAATTGATATGAATTAAAAAAATTAGTTAAATTAATTATTTATTATCAATATATTGAAAAAAAGTGTATCACTTTTTCTAAAGTACTCTGAGATGTTAAATGTGGGAGGCAAAGAAAGAGAAAAAATGTAAAATTAATAAAGGTGTAATGTGTAAAAAAAATATTAAATGAGAGAAAAGCATTCAAGTCCTATAATTATAGAAAAATAAATTCAAAAATTGAGTCTTTTATTAAAAACATAAGGGAGTACAACATTGGTTCCAAATTATTTATATTTATGGTAGAAAATCTGGACCATGTGCGGTAAAATGTTTTAAATTATTTAATGAAAAGTACATTTCAAATAAAATTAAACTGTAAATCTTCCCAGATAACAATTAGAGAGCTACAGCCTGATTAATTGAATGTCAATTGTCGTTATATAAAATAAATAAATAAATAAATAATCAGTCTGTTTTTTTTTTTTTTAAAAGGAGAATAATAATGAGTCTAAAAGCATGGGAACGAAGCTTCTTCTTAGTGAAGCCACGACAAGCGAAGGTCAATAGGGCGCCCCACACGGCAAAGACGAAGTGTGAGTTTGGGCGCTTTCTCTAATGTTTAGCTTACCTTAGATTTGAGGTGGGACTTCTTCCCCCCCCCCCCTCTATCCTATTTATTCTTTTAGATTGAAAATTGAATTGAACGGTTAAGATTTAACATTCAGGCTTAATATCCTTATTAATCTTATAGTTTGATCTACTTTTGATTTTAATTTTTATAGTTTTATAAAGACTTGATCTGAATTTAAGTATAAGAATTAGAGCTAAACTCGTTAAAAGTTAAACTCATAAATAATAATAAAACTATAGATATCAAAATTACTAATTTGAAATCACAGAAATTAAAATCAAAATCCGATCAAATTATAATAACTAATAATAGTATTAACGCATTAATTTATTTAAAATTTAAAAATTGTCATCACCGATAGCCTGTTAGCATCCATTGATTTCATAGTTTGACGTGATTTATTATTATATTAACTTTTTGTGTGCCCAATTCTGGGTTCTGCGAAATGGGCAAACGGTCAATATATTGGCTTTCCAATGAGGTTCAGCTCTTTGAAGCCCTTTTATTTTGCTTTAACTTATCTGATTGCAAATATTCCCACATGTTCTAATTGATCTTCACGTAGAAATCTGAATCTAGTACTCATCCGGATAATCATTTTCCCAGTATGGTTCTTCAAGTCCCGTTATGTCCTCATCATATGGAACTTCATCTTCTCCCTCAGTTACACACGTACAATCACAGCTCTCCCAGACTTCAACTATTTCCATGGCGGAATAACCAGATTTGCAGTAAGCCAGAGGCATGACCGGTTGACACGAAGGAGCTTGACCAGGATATGCCACCATGGGAACTGGTGGTTGAGAGCAAATATTCTCTGCAGGTGGCCCATCTCTATCTGGATTATTATCTGTTTGATCTCTCTCACTTGTCTCGCTCCCGCCAAGCTCATGAACTTGCAGGATCTCTACTCTGCGATTCATCTTCTTCTTTATATGTATTGCAACATCTGCTGGAACAAATCGACCGCACACAAATAGCCTCCTTTGCTGCTTCTCTATCATGTGACTCTCTATCCCTTCAATATCAAACCAGCAACATCACGTTAAACTCAAAGTATTCTATATATCATAACCACACATATTTCCATTCATTTCACAAAGGATCCATAAGTCAATGTTATGGATCGCCCCCAAATAATATTCATCTCCTTCTTAGCAAATATCACGAGAGATCGAACTAGTAGAATATATCCTCATATATATTACGTTTCTAATAATAAGTGCATGTTTGAGATCACATTAGGAAGCATCAAAAGTCAGTTAGAACCAAAAAAAAAAAAAAAGGGGGTAGTTGGACGGAAAAAATGATATTTGACATGATCTTGGAACAACTGAACTTTTGCTCAAAAGCTATTTTAAAGTTGAAGCATTATTTTTTTGGCTATTGGCTTTTAACTTTTTTTAAATTGACTTTTCAATATATTATTCACACAAGTTTCTATCAAACAGGCTTTTTTTTTTTTTTATAAAAGCTTATCTAAATATAAATCAAATTACATTAATTAACTTTTATCCCAACTTCAGTTTGTAAAAGTCAGTTGAGATAAAAGTTATTTTTGTCAACGTAAATCTAAACAAGCCCTAAAGTTTTTTGTAAGCCATCTAAAGCTAGCTCAAGTTATGAGGGTGGGGTGGAGATACAAAGGAAAAAAACACTTAGTCGTTTGTTGGAGATGTTGAAATTAAAGGGTAGAAAAGGTCTGGAAACCTTAACCTTTCATCCTGAGGACGATCCTCCTCAACTTTCTGCAACAAGCATTGCAGTCAATGTTGAGTCTCAAGACCATGGCACGAAACTGCAATTTTTAAGAAGAAACTTGGTTAAGACGAATTTATGAGAGAATGTGGAGCTTGTGGTAGGAGAGGACAAGAGAAGAACTTCGCCTTTTCAGGTACGTAGTGGTTGGGGCTTGACATAACCACACCATGTGGGTTTCTTCTTCTGGATAGACCAAAAGGCATTGTGAAGAGGATTTGTTTGTGGGAGATTTGAGAATTGAAATTGAAATTATGTGGGACGTTGGCCAACTGGTATTTCTACATTTGAATAGTGTCCTCTTGGAGATGAAGACATTCCCATGTTTCAATTTTGGAATCTGATTCGACAACTTGACAGGACTTGTTGTTTGTGTGATAAGTCTTATATGCTTGACTTTATCTAAAAGCCTAATTCATTCACAACATCAGGGAAAAGGACAAGCATTTCTTCGTAACTATGCTTTGCCACTTTCTTGTTTCCAAAGTTTAGTTGTAAACTGTGTGATTGAACGAAGTAATCTGATTTTTCCCCCTTTAAATGGAGAATTCAAATTGTAATATTCTTTGTTCTTTTTTTTTTTTTAATATAGAAAATACACCTTACGTCTTTCTCACCATTTAAGTAGAATATGATCAAAATATTTGAGTTTGCTAAATTAATATCTATGTTTTCTTGACTGAAAAGGAAACTAAAAAATGAAAGGAAAAATAGACAAAACCTCATCACTTTCTTGTTCCTTAAACTCAGATAACTGTCTCTAAAGTTATATCTGTCATCACGATTGCTCTTCATAGGTTCAGAAACTAAAACCTCATCCCTAACTCCAAAACTCCAATCGTTCATAGTCTCTCGCAACAATCTGAAAAGTGTAATACCAAGCCAATTCAAGGACTGTCCTTCACGTTGTGTTCTTGATCTCTCTGGAAGCAGATTCCTGCCAGCATGGGAATAGCTTCAGTCTTGGCTATTGAAATCGTTAATTTTGTTCCTATGTCTATATACAGAAGGTGGTACTCTGTCAACGGTTTTATAACTTAGTCACATGAAAACTTTTTTGTAAAAGATCACGGGTTCAATCTTACTTATAACCTTCACTCATTGGTACCTACCACTTTAATTTTTTTCCCCCAAAATAAAGTGGTACTTTGATTGAACAAGAAAATTGTACAAGGAAACAAGGCTGAAATGTGATTAAAATGGGAGCAACTTGGGTAGTTTATAAGGCTGAAACAACATGGAAGTCAAATACAATTGTGAGTCAGGGAGGAGGTTTATGTATAAACGAATGTATTAAATAGAGAGAGGACAAAGGGAAGCTGGAAGAAGGTGCTGAATGGGACGTGGAGAGCTTCAATTCAAACATGGGAGATGGCAGCCCGAAGAAGATGAAGGGGGAGGAAGACCTTCTTTTACAGCTTATACAAGTCGAAAATGGAGGGGTCTATAGTTTTTTAATGTGATGCCTTTTTTTAATATCAAATATAAAACTGACCATCTAATTATATTTGTGTGCCTAATTTACACAATACAGCCCACCTTTCATTCTCGATTTGCTTTGATTTATAACAATTGGCCAAATCAGACTCCCCCCCCCCCAAAAAAAACATATGTACTACCCTGTTCCTCAATAAAAAAAATAGTTAATTAATTTGAGTTGATTAAAAAAATTTGTTAAATTCGTTATTTATAATAATTAAATATTTTATTTTATCTAAAATACCTTATTAATCATATGTATTAGTTAGAACGTAACTAATATTTGACAGAACCTTTAACATATACAACTACTAAAAAAATTACTTTAAAAAAATAACTAAATATGAGAAACAAAATAGATTTGAATATTATATTTAAAACCAAATTGAATGTCAAATTAGTTCTTATATTAATGATGTAGTAGGTTTTTTTTCCCCTTTTTGGTAAAGGGAAAAAGAGCAAAGAAAATTAAAAAGAAAGGAAAATTACAAATAAAAACCCTCCAATATATAAAATTGCGATTTGGGATCCTGAATTTGAAAAATAGCAAATAAAAATTGAGTCCCACTTTTGCAAATACAAAATATAGGTGAAATGTCTAAAATGTCCCTAAACTAAATTGTGATTTGGTCTACTAAAATTGTTGTTCGTTAAAATAAACTTGTCATTTCTCATAGTCAACTCGTCATTTGGTATACCCTCAGTCAAGTTGTGATTTTACCTACTGAAGTTGTCATTCGTCAAAGTAAACTTATTATTTCCCATAATCAACTTGTCATTTGACTGAGAGGCATTTCAAACATTTCACCATGATTTTATATTTGCAAAAATAGGACTAAGTCTTTATTTGCTATTTTTCAAATTTAAGATCCTAAATCGTAATTTTATATATTGGGGGTCTTTATTTGTAATTGTCTCTAAAAAGAAGCTATAAGTCTGATTACGTGTAGATTTGAGAATCTAACATAATTAAATTTTTAAACTGAAACAAATAAAGGGCGTACTAACATTACTGCTATGCACTGAAGCCAACTCACTGTCTCCTAACACACAGAGGGCACCTCAGGCCCATAAATTGGAAGGGGGGGGGGGGAATACATAGGTCTCCTATTTCTTTCTTTCTTTCTTTGTTTTTTTGACAGAGGGTTTTCTTTCTTTTTCTTTGGCCGCACTAACTAAGCACTGTGTGCCGAAAAGCTGTGAAATTCACCAGTCCAGTATAATATTTCGAGAAAGATACAGTTTATCGATGTATTCTATAACTGGTAGCGAGGCATTGATGTACCTTCTCATTTTCTTTTCAGCTGATTGATCTGTAATAACATTTATCATAGCGTAAGGTCTCAAGAAGAATCTAATAAAACCGACATAGCACAAAGTTACTATTGCTAAAGCATAAAATCGTTCGTTTCACAACAAATGCATAGTTACAAGAGGAAAATAAAAAGGAAATAAACACAACTATCATCGATATTGCGATCTCTAAAAATGATAAATAACGATTAATGATTGATTCAAAACTAAATCTAAAGGAAACCATCAAAATAGCGGGACTTTGAAGGATTGGTAAAAGCTCTCATTCTTCTGTTCTTTTTTTTTTTTTTTTGGGGGGGGGGGATATCTGGATTCCTTTTCACCATTCTCAACAATCCAAATTTACTCTCAGTTCAGTCTTTTTTCTTTAAGCGAAAAATGGAAAAACTAGGGCTTTCTGTTGGAGCAATATAGATGATTCAAAGAATTCAAAGAAAGATTTTTTAGTCGTCACGTCTTCTAATAGCACTTTAATGAATAAAGCCAAAAGGTAACTGCAAATATTAGATAATTCAGTCCATGTGTGTGTATAAACTTCCTATAAGACATGCACCGTACATAATAACATTGACGTGAGCTTACCTGTTTCATTGAGCCTTTCCAACAGTTGGTCCCTCGTTGGAAGTGTATACATCCCAGCAGCAACGGCAGTTCTTACTGCCCATGTGTGATATGGTGCACAAACCTGTGCATAAGCTGTTGAAGCTACCTCTCTTAATGAGTTGTCACTGAAAATGAGAAAATCATAAATCAGATGTCACCATCATCCATCGGACCTATGAATACTTCAGTATCTGTATGCATTACCAAAATAACTTGGCAGACGAATAATTATGAAGTTTTAACAGAAGAGACAGACATGGCTATGTAGAAGGAGCGGGAGAACCATACAATGGTATAATGCAATGCAATGTAAGACAGCTTTCCCAATTATTACCAAATAACACATCTTCATCACACATTTATTTTTTAACACATTTCACAAAACGGACATAAACATTCAAAGCTGAAGTATCAGCTTCAAGAAACTACTTGTCAAGCAAGAATGCTGTCATAAAACAAGGGAAGTAGAAATTAAGCGAGAAGAGAGATTCCTCTATGGCGTGAAATTGTATTTTACAAAGTAAGAGCTTTCCACAAATCATATTTAAACTAGATTGAAGAATTTCTAATATTTTCCATTGAGACTGTTCTTGGAGTTATCGATCATATGACTGCATTCATGTAAAGAACTGTCAGGAAAACAATAGCAGTGCCCATTTGTGTCTTGAAAATTTTCCAGAAGGTGCTCTTCATTTTGAAAATTTCAGAAACAGGGGAACACATTTCATATCATACAAATTATTCAGCTTGTTATATGCATCTTATTCTTGCAGAACAAAAAGGATATTCTGAATAAAAATGGTAAATCTGTAAAGAGGTTTGCATACTCAGTAGACAAAAAATTTTCAAATATAGCTCTGATGAGATCAAGTCCCTGTCGAACTCTACGCAGATTACGCGAAAAGCTTCCTGCTGTTTTGACTGTATTATGTGCAATATCATGATCAAGGATATCACCTAGAGTATCAAAACTCTTCGATGCTTCCAGAAGTCCATGTAGCTGCATATATCAATCAAATCACTGAAACCAATATAAAAATGCAAAAAAGAGAGCCTACAGATTTGTAGATTGCAACATGTGGAAGTAAACATGATGCCATGAAAGCATGAACGTAACAAGATCCTTGTTGATTCAGCATGTTGATGAATAAAGATACACCAAACTCGATATCTTCCTCTTCTAACTACACGTTTGGTTGTTAAACTATCAAGTTATACATAGTCCTCTTGTCACTTGCAAATATTAGTCAGAGTCATTTAGTTATACAAGTCGTAACACCTCATGGCGCAGTAAAGGTAACGTCCATCAATTTCAAATGTTACGCCAAAACGCATGGCAATGCAAAATATAGCAATACTTCCATCACACCACGCACCTGAATTTCCGCTTAGACCACCCCCCCCCCAAAAAAAAAAAAAAGGAATGGGCGCCAGAGCCCGGAGATCAGTTTCAACGCTATGTTTTCCGACTCCAACTTCAAATATATCATGTAAATCCACAAGAAGAAAGAAACATAAATACACAAGAAAAAATAGATACCTATGATCATAACCACTTCTCAGCCCCAGACAAGTTGAAACTCTGTTTTTTTCCCCCCTCATTTTTTACCAGCAAAACCAAGGACACGTTTCTCACTTCAAACTCGTCAGGTATTAATCCATCAATCCATGAGAAGAGCATCAAATGCTCAACAAGAACATAAACCCAAGGAGAAAAAAGGACAACGAACCTTGGCGATATATTCCAACTCAGCGAACTTGAAAGCGAGGCCGAGGCTATTAAATAGAAAAGACACCAGATGGCAAGCCTGGCAAAAGTTGTCCAACCGAAGCATTTCTTGTCCCATGGACCCATTTAAGCGACCCTTGAGCCTCTTTGCGAGCTCCTCGAAGGCGTCGGCCATGGAGGATAGAGGCATCGTCGCTGAATCCAGTGGCGTAAGCTCATCATGGATAATTTCCCCATTGAACATCTTCAAAATCCACCGCCACAATTAGTTCCCTTCCTCTGTTCTTAAGAAAAGAGCAAACATTGTGGAGATGTCCCGAGAGCGATAAAGGAAACGGAAACAAAAGATCCAAATTCGTTGAAATGACAAAAGTGGAAATCGTTGATGAGATATTTTGGCAGTTAGAAGGTTCCCTAAGGATGCGCTGAGCCTGAGGTAGGAACCAGGAAACCCGCCAAATTTTCATGAAGCAGAGATAGAGAAAACGCTGAGAAACGACCACCTCCAGCGCATCAATGGGGGTTCGCGCCGTTCCATCACGGGGAGTGGGGACAGACACGAAGCGGTGTGGATCGTCGATAGGCCCAATAAGAATATAGGGGTCGAGGAAAAGCCCAATTGTTCACAGATGTGGTTATGAGAATGAATCTTTTGAAGTTGAGAATTGAGATTCATGAATTTCCATGAGGATTTCTTTTTTCCAAGGTTATATTTTAACTGCTTTATCTTTTTTTCCCCCAACAAAACATAAAATCATGTATAGTTCCTTGTTTTTGTTTGATTTTTAGCTATGGGAAAAATAACCAATAATAATGACTTCGTTAAAGATCGCATCGCATATTCTTTTTTTGTCTACATATGTTATACTATCTGTCCTAATTATAAGAGCTAGTTGATTAATTTGAGGAGATTAAGAAAATAAATTAATTTAGTTATTTATAATAAATGGGTGTTGTCTTTTTAAAATATCCTTACTAATCAAGTATATTGCTAAGAATTACTATTATTAGAAGGACTATCTTTAGAAAAAATACATAAATATAAGAGGCAAAGTGGATTAGGGTCTTATATTAAGATAGAGGTAGTATATTTCTAAATTTTAAAGAATAAAAAAAACAAGGAGAATAAATATTAAAAGATCTTATATTTGTCCTTAACGTTTTTTATCTTCTTTATGAGGATATCAAATGGGGTTCCCTGCTTCAACTCAAAGCTGTCTCTGCTGCAAAACCGAGAAATTGAAACCTATACCATCTGGCTTCAAGGTTACTCTTCATTGGATTTCTTCCATAGCCGAACTAGAGAAATTCAGAACTGAACAGATTAAAACAGCGATGATACAGGCAATAGTAAGAACATCGTTTTACAGTTTCCTATTAGTAACGTATATTATTTATTTACGATACAAATGTTCACCTAACAACCTCCTCTATAAAGCGTAAAATCACCAGAATAAACGTAAGAGAAACTACTCCAACCTGACATTTGTGCCAGTTAATCTGGAGATCATCTATTTTAACGAAAAAGTAAGAAAATCCGAGTCACTGAGTCAACTATATAAAAGCTTGAATCAGATTTTGCCGGCAAGCTCAATCTGGTTCTCATCAGAACTATCTCCATCCTCTTTAGTATGGACCTGAATTGGCTTATAAACATAGGCTTTGGCGCAACATAGGTAATAAGCGAAGTTAACAATTTGCAGTAACGTAATGAGCCAGTAGAAGTACTCCAACTTGCCTTTGTTCAGATTATGATCAGGAAGCCAATTTGATCCATCAGGCTTACGACTGAACCTATGAACCAATGAAACCAGAAGAGTACTCACGTAGTTCCCTGCCGCAATTGAAGTCCAAAACAAAGCCATGGAAGTACTCCTCATGCTCTCAGGAGCTTGGTCATAGAAAAACTCCAAGTGCCCTATCGACATGAAAGCTTCAGCCATTCCATGGAGGCTATACTGCGGCACAAGCCAGAACACAGAGATAGCTTCTCCGGCGGCGGCTCCTCCCTTGCGTTTCATTTCGACGAGGCCAGCAATGAGGGTGGCCAAGATGGAGATGACAAAGCCTATGCCCATTCTGTGGAGGAAGGAGATGCCACGGTCGAGGCCAGTGAAGCGGCGGGCGACGGGGATGAAGATGCGGTCGTAGAAGGCGGTGGTGGTGAGCATGGTGAGGATAGTGAAGACGGCCATGGATCCGGCGGGAATTTGGAAGGTGGGGGTGATGTGCCTGTCCATGGTTTTGGCTTGTTGGAGGGAGAAGGTGCTTTGTTGAGCGTAGGCTGTGATGAGGAGGATGCCAGAGGCCCATATTGGGACCATTCTGATTAAGGATTTGAGTTCCTCCACTCTATGAACTGTGTTTAGCCTCCATAAGTTTGGTTTTTTGACCTCGTTCTTGTCCTCTTCGCTCACTATGGCTGCCTTGTCCAGAAATCTGCATTAAGATATTCTTCCAAAATTAGAAACTTTTGCCTCTACTTTTCTTCCTCATACCAAAAAAAAAATCCCATTGCAAAATATGGATATACTAAAATGTCTTGAGATTGAAGCTTTCTGTGTCTTGTACACACAATGGATAGACATGAACAGGACTAGCTCGAGGGTTTTTGACTTTTCGATAGTTTCAGCTTGTTGTATTTGCACATTAAGGCCTGTGACTTCAAAAATGACTTTTGTTAATAACCCCTCTATTACTAAATGTGGGAATTAGTTGAGGAATTATTTTAATCCTAAATACTACCTCCGGTCCTAATTATAAGACCTAGTTGACTAATTTAAGAAAATAAGTTAAGTTAGTTATTTGTAATAAATAAGTGTTGTCATTCCTAAAATATCCTTGCTAATTAAGTGTATTAGCTAGAACTATCATTATTAGAAAGACTATTTTGGGAAAAAAATATAAATATGAGAGACAAAATGGATTGGGATCTTATAATTAGGACCAAATTAAAATCCAAACGGAGTCTTATATTAAAGACCGGAGATAGTATAAAATTTCAATTAATTTTGTCTCACAAATTTACAATTTTTTAAAAATAATCTCATTGATTTTACATACTAAAATGAGTTTTCCTTAATAAAAACAGTTTTTAATGTGAATGATTGAAGGAAATATTTTAGAAAAATTAACATACATTTACTATTAACAACTAACTTAACTAATTTTTTTTTACATAACTCCTTCATTTAGAATTACAGATATTATTTTTTTTGTTTAAATTATACAAAATCCTTTGAGTTTAACTCATTATTAATAATGAATTTTTTGAGCCCTCGTGAGGGCATTAAAGTTTGCTTTAGAACGGGTAGTGTGTTGTTTGTTGTTTCAATAATGAATTTTTGAATTCTAAAAGTTGTACAAAGGTTATGTAAGTCATGATTTGAAATTAAGAAAATTTCATGAAATTCAATTTCTGTTTTAATAATAAAGAGTAAGAAAAAGAACACGCAAAAAATTCAACTTCGTATATTTAAAAAAAATAAATAGTGTTTTTTAATCAATGAAGAATAAATAGTGGGAAAGAAAATCAGTGTTCACAATAAATAAATGAAGGGTACAGAAAAAGTGGATGATTGAGGCTAATGATTGAATCAGCATATCTTCCGACTTCCATGACAAACACGGGAGGAAGGAAAAGTTTTTTTTTATTTAAATATTTAGTTTTATTATTATGGATGGTTATTTTATATTTTAAGATCATATATTATGCAGTATAGAAATATTTATTTTAAAATATCATAAAAATTTGAACCATGCAACATAGGAAGGAACAAAAATTAAAAAAAAAAAAGTATTATGTTTAGGTACTGGGAAGTAGTCGGTGACACGTTGGGAGCAATACCTTAAGGCCATGTTTGGTAAGAGGGATTGATTTTGATGGAATGGGAATGGTAATAGGATTGGGAATGGCAATGGTAATGGGATTGGGAATGGGGTTTTTATTTTATGTTTGGTAGGAGGTAATGTGTGGAAGGAATACATGTATTTATTTTATTTATAATAAGATATATAAAATTAAAAGACTATAATACCCCTCGGTATTTTAGAGCTTAGGACTCCAACATTATACACTCCTCTTCTAATAAAAAGGAAACCGCCTAATCATATATATTGTTTTAAAAATGAATACATTAAATTTTTACTCATTTTACAATAATAAATAAATAAATAATAGATTAAAGAAATGGCTTCCTATCGTATCCCAACAAATTTATATGCAAAAAAAAATAATAATAAAAAAGTCAATGCTTCCTTAAAATTTATCCCGATGAATTATTAATAATTTCTTAAAATTATAAAATTTTTATTAGAAAAAGTTATAACTAGGTACTTAAAATTATAATTTTCTTAAAATTTAGTAATGCATTTTGAAATTAATAATATGTAAGATCAAAAGATAAGAAGCAAATGACAGTTTTTACTATAATTTTCTGTAATATAAGTTCAAGTAAGATAATCCATATCTCACTTTAAACAGTTATCAAAATATTCCTATCTCAAACAAAATATTTCAAGTCCGTAACAAGATATTCCTGTCTGAAATAAAATATTTCAAGCCTGTAACAAAATATATATTTTGTCTTAACATTATTGTAATATAGGTATTTGTGTCTTTTATGTGTTTTAGTCCCAGGATTCAAATGCATTACCGGGGGGAAGGTGGGATTGTATAATCCCACCAATGTGGCATTGCTCAATCCTAGTAATCTTTAATCCCTCCTACCAAACATGACAAAATCACCCAATCCCTCCTCCAATCCCATGCCCTCCCCCTCAATCCCTCCTACCAAACGTGGCCTAAGAGATTAGGTCCCATTTGATACAAAACACTAAAATGAGGGATAAAAATTGATATCAGAATTGAAAGAGAGTTTAGCAAACGAGATTATTTATTACATGGGATCCGACAAACTCATGTATGTAGAATTGGAAAATACTATAGGGAGAAGTAGTATTTCCCAATCCTATCTTCATGGGTTTGCCTAATCTTATGTAACAAATAATTATTTATACTAAATACTTTTTAATGATTTTTTTCAGTTACAATCACGGTTCCTATCTCTTATTTTTAATATTTCGTATCAAAAGGACCTTAATGTACAATTCCAGGATATTGTGAGCCATTTATCTGTCACATCAAACCTACTTTGATACTTATATTTCTTCATCATACCTTTAATATAAAAACGAGGATTAATATAATTTTTTGTCTCTCAAGTTTGTACTCATTTTGTTTGGTTTCTGAAGTTTCAAATCATAAGTTTTGCTATCAAGAGGTAAAATAATCCAAGTTTTTATTAGATTATAGGAACCAATGTTTTAAATAAAAAAAACTTGATGGATCAAAACCTATGATTTGTAATTTGAGGGACCAAAACTAAAATTAAGACAAACTTAAAGGACTAAAATTTGTATTAACCCTTAATTATTACTTAGTTAATTTGATCCAGTTAAGAAATTCAAATTCAAATATAAAAGTACCTAAACCGGTTCTGTCTAGATTATATATTGGGTAAATTAGTTTGAAAAAAATAATAAATATAATAGATAAAATGAATTAAGATTCCATATCTAAAACGAAATTTAACCTTAGATCTAATGTTAAGAAGGAGAGATTGAAATGACTTACTTGAACTGTTGAGAATGGAGAAGCTTGCCTTCCAAAGAAATGGAGGCGTCCAGTTCATGGTTTTGGTACAGTAATGTAGAGTCTGCCACATGCTGGAGCTTTCTCTTCCTGAATGCAGCCACACCCACTTGGACCAATCGGGTAAACGGGCTCCCATCCGGATCCAAGTGTCGGTAAAGCGGGTACCCGACAACGAAGGTGATAATCGACAGCAACATGGCTATGGTGGGGATTCCTAGGCCCCATCCCCATCCTACATTATCTTGAATGTAAACAATCACAGTAACAGCCACTAGTGTTGCTGTTCCCATGACAAAATAGTACCAGTTGAAGTAGGTCCACGTCTTTGTCCCTTGCTCCGGATCCGATTCATCAAACTGGTCCCCCCCGAACGCCACCACGCACGGCCGGATCCCACCCGCCCCGAGTGCCCCTAGCAGCAAAGACCCATACAGTACTGCCAGCTGCCCGGAGTCAGCTTCTTGACAGACCTCCGTACCTTCTTCACAGGGCGAGGGCCTTAGTTGTGGAAGCACTGCTGATAATGTTAGACTTATCATCCCCTGCAATGATACCAACTTGAAATTACAAGCAGAATCAAATCCACGACCTTTCTTGTGAGAGAGAGGTTTCATGTCACTAGCGTATATATAACGCCAGTGGATGAGAGTGAGAGAGAAAGAGGGTAGTTTACTATTTGGTAGAAAAGGGAAGCGAGAGTTATAGTCCAGAATTTGCCAGCATAAGAGTCTGCGAGGAAGGCACCAAGCAAAGGGGTCAAGCTTGCAGTTCCATTGAAGTTGGTGATTGTGTTGGCTGCTTTGGTTAATGGCAGATGAAGCTGTGTTGTCAGGTAGCTTATCATGTTTGTACTGAAACCCACCACTGCTAGCTTCTCACACGCATCATTAGCTTCACAGAACAAATTCAAAAACCCATTAACTAAAAGCTTAATAGGATAGATGTGAAGAAAAAACTCAATCTTTCTGAGAGAATTCAAACATAATATATACACACATTCTCAGCAAGTATCGTGGTTTATCTGATAAAAATAGAAATTTGAGGATGCGGAAGAAACTTAACCACCTTGAAATATGTGGTACCGGAAAATGCAAGAGAGAAGTGTTGAGAAGCTTACCAAAGATGAAGGGCAGTGTGAGGAGGCCTCCCTTTTTGATTCTTTTAACATGGCTGCTGTGATCTTCCTGCTCCATCTTGGATATATTGTATGGTTTAACTTGCTTGTGCATATAAATTGGAAGAAGCCTAAGTATTTATAGGCCAAAGTTTGTAGTAGATGTGGAGGAGAGTGGGGGCCGTGGAGTCGCAATTATTAGAGCTGCTAAAGCCTAGGAACCGTTCACACGCGTGACTCTTTTATAGCTAGTAGTGTGTTGGCTATAAAATAAAGATATCTTCTTATTTATGCAATAATTTATTTACGTTTCAATCCAGAGGGAAGAAATTTGCAAATAAACCACAAAAGTGTGAGGCATTGTGTCAAGGACCCGTGACACAATTTGCTTCTTTTTTTGTCCTAAGTATATTGAAAAAGATCAGTATGGATTCAATGAAATGAAGATTAATCTGATCGGCCATCAAAGAAATAGTGGAATTTCTCCCCTATCCAAAGGGCGTTGGTCGGGCTCATATCAATGTTCTAAATTGGGGGATATTCTTTACAATTTTGCTTAGACGAAAAGAGAAAATGAGAAGAAGAAAAAGGAAAAAAAAAATGTTCTCTCACTCTATATATATATTAGGAGATGATAAGCAAGGGGGAAAAATACAGACAAAAGGAAAGTAATTGATTTTACAATGACAATAGCATTCATATAGAAAATATTGTGCATCAAGCCTCTTTCTTTCCTTCAGGGAAATTTTGAAATGTTTAATTTCTTATCCAAAACCTTTTTCAAAACGAAAAATTACAGGGAGAAAATATGTACGTCTCATATATTATTCTTTTCCTCCTCTAATTTTTTTTTATTTTCTCTTTCTATCCAAACAAGAAAATATCTATTTTCTCTTACAGTTTTGTCTTACACTCTTTTCTTTTTTTATTTAAAGAAATGTCAGTAAAACAATAAACTTATGTTGGTATGAGGGGTGAAATCAAAATATCCACAAGTACATTATTTTGTATTCTTTACTTTTTCTCTGATTTCTCTCACAAGTTGCGCAAGGTAGCACGTTGATATAATAGTGAAATTCAATTTCCCTATCTTCAACCGAATTCTCTTCTTTGACCTTTGGTTTATTAGAGCCAGGAAATAAATGGACATGACAATTTTTTTTTTCTTCATTTTTAATTTGTTCTCTCTTTTAAATGATGGATGCCGCATTCACACTTCTGCCAAAGATTCTTTAAACTTGCTAAGCTCTCTTGCTCTTGAAGTGTCAAGGTTTTTCCCCTCATCTTATTTTGGCATTGAGACTCCATCTTTTAAAAGGAAGGAAAAAATTTTCTTTTCCCAATACAGAGAAGAGGCTAAACGTTTGAAAAATAATTCAAGAGACAACCAATATAGGCTAACATGCCCACAATCTAATTCATAACACATAAGTCGTAGATCCCTTAATCCCAAGGCAGACTAGAGCAAAATCATGAAATTTGCTTATATTCATGCAACAACTATGTTTATCAACTTTATCAAAATTTATTGGCTTATCTAAATATATAGTCATCAAAGACTGATTAATCATCGCGCATAACTAACCCTTTTAATTTTTTCTCCACAGACAAAATAAGTGTTGTCTATTGTGCTACCTCTTAATGAGGTTGAGTGCTTCATTAGAGTACACAAAACTTGACTTTTCTACGTATTCCTATGAGCTCTATCTCAACACATTATCACATGTGTTAAAGTCAAGTTGTTCTAATAGGTATACCAGCCGTTATATTTAAATGAGGTTTTAAACTGGAGTTTGATATTAACATATTTGTATATGGGAGGGAGTGTTTAGTTCCATAAAAAAAAAATTTTTTTAAATGTTCTCATCTACATTGCCCATCCCATCCTCGATTAGGTGACGCCTCCTTTATAAACTAAATAATATAATTTTTAAAATATAAATTAGTTGATAATATTATATTAGAATACGGTATTAGAAAGGTATGCATGGCGTTACTTTTTCTTTATAAATCTTCCCTTTCTTTCTTCTTTTTCCTGAAATCTTTAAAAAGTTTTACAATATAAAATTATTCCTTCCTATGTATTGCTCCATACACCAGGTGAAACAGCTCTTCAACAGCCACTAGCAATATCTTGAATGTCATATTGACAATAAATTAAGTTATATTATTGTTTTTAAAATAACAAAAACAAAAAGTGTTAAAGCAGCACAATGAGTTATGTTAACTTTTAAAAGACAACATAGAGATTACAAAGCCTCATTCTCTTTACGGTAAAAAAAAAATGACAACATGAATTATAAAAGAAGAATGATGGCTAGGTTCTAGATGATGAACTTAATGATATAGTTAGCTTTTCATAATATTTCACCTAAAGACAAGTTATACAACTTAATTCAGATATTTTGTGATTTGAAACTAAAAATCTCGCATTTTGTTAACTATGAAAAATGATATTTACTACTGACTTTTTAATAAAATTTGTTTGGACTTAATTGTTATTAAATTCATATTTTAGGACGTAATTACACTCAATTTGTTCCAGAGAAAGTGATCTGCAGAAACTATGGGAAGTTAGGAATTACAGCTTTTTCATTAATTATACTTATACAACAAAAGGTATTTTAGCAATTATATTGTTTATATTATAGTTATTCGAGCTATAGGTATTCACACTTGGAAAAATTTCCCCGTTTTTTAATACATTTTATTTTATAATAAATCTGATTTTGCTTTTGTCTAATTCTTTTTGAAAGAAATTAATCCTTTTTTTGGAAAAAAAATATTTTTTTGGCCAAATTTTTAAAAAAAATCGAGGAAAGTGGAATTGGATTTGAGGATTTGATAAGGTAAATGATGAGGTTGGACGGTTTGTGAATAATTGCAAATTAGGGACTTAATGATTATGCCTTCCATTATTATTTCTCGTTTCCGTGACACTCCCAAACTCCGCAACCACCACATCCATCTTCTTCTTCTTTTTTCGTTTTTTCAATCTCTTTTTCTTCTTTAATCATATGCTAGTCTAAACATCACAGACAACTCTGTTTATAAAATTTTAGTTAACATATTAAATATTTTAAATTGACTTCATTATCAAGAGAGGTTCACATCTATATTAATGTGCCCCCAAAATATCAATATAAATATTAAAAATATATTAAAAGTAATGTAGGAAATTATACTGTCAACCGATAATGAAAATCACAACTCATTTTGGATTTTGTATGAAATAGATGAAACTCACTCTACTATCCTATTATCTTATGTCTCTCCATATCTAAATGAAAAAATGAATTCAGAGAATATGATTTTGTTTTAATTAAACATGAGTCATATATATATTCCCGGGAAAAAGAGGCAAAAGCAAATATTATTTACAACATATAAACAATATCTGAACTGTAATATTGTGTATTTAATTTTCTAATAATTACCTAATATTCGCACTTTTGTCCCAATTGAAGGCGTACCCAATTAATTACCAGAATTTTTAAAAACCTTAGTTGTTAAGGGGGAAAAACATCATTAAAGCAACTTTGTCTAAATCTACCTCGGCCTTCACTTTCCTACCATATTGATAAATGTGGATGGGGCCTTCTCTTTTGCGTCGAACGTCGCTGCAAGTGGCGGACTACTGCGGAACGAGAATGGGTCCTTCATACGAGGGTTCATGTTTCGCCCCTATGAAGGTGATGGCTTATCTGCAGAACTTTGGGGGTGTGTACATGGTCTCAAACTCGCATGGGATATGGGGTACAGACAAGTTATGCCTGAGACGGACTCGGCAGAAGCCTTAAACCTGATTACAGCAGAGACTAATGAACTGCATGCTGATTGTGAAATCATCAGAGAAGCCAAAGGTGTTATATGAGCGGAGAATGGGCTGCAGATATTACACATGTGAGGCGTGAAGTGAATAAAGCAGCTGACTGGTTGGCAAAGAAGAGCTTGACTGCGCAACCGGGTTTCATCTAGCGTTGCAAGAGTTTATACAAAAAGAAGAATGTCAAGGATTGGAACCTTATCAACATAACCAAAGAAAGTATCCGTTCCTCTATCTTTTTATATTTGAAGTTGAAGATGAAAACAAGAAAACCGCATATTGCTTTAATTTTCATAAATATTCCCTCCATTATTCTAAATATAAGAATTTGTTGAAGTGCGAAAGCTTAGAGTTTGCTCCGAAGTTGGTTGCTGAAGGTGAGGTGATTATATATATGTAGATGTGGTGAACATTTTCAGACCGCTAGGAAAGACTAGGAAATATGTATTTCTGTAAATCAGTTATTTGATTCTTATGTTTATTTTTTAAAAAAAACTATCTCCTTTAATTACATTCGCAAACGGTGGGTTCTGTAATTGATTAAAACAAATATACTTTAGAAAAACTAGTACATGTTTATTATAAATAACTAGATTGGTTAATTTTTTAATAGTTGTGAATTAATTATCTGACTCCTAAATAGATTTGGGAACACAAAGTGTACATCAACTTGTCAAATAGATATTTTTTTCATATCTCTTATTAAAAAATAAAGGTTAGTTGGGTATATACGGCCCCATAGAAGAAAACTAGTTCATAATGTTTCAATTATTATCAATTAGTTTCAATATGTGGGCTACTTCCTGGCCATTAAAAAATGTAGGCTACTGTTGATTAAATATGTCAAAGACAAATTATCGCGTGACTTTGTTGATGTTGTCCCAAGGTACAATAAAGCTCTCGCAAAGATTTTGCACGCCGGAAAGGATACCTTTTTCAAGTGGAAAAAATAGTAAGAAAAGCAGCATTGCAAATGGAGACTAAGAGCATGTTTGTTTTTATTCTTTGTTTTGTTGTTCTCAAAATAACTTTATAAAATTATTTTTAAAAACAATTTTTGGGAAGAAAAAAAATTTGTTCAGAAAAAATAAAAAAATCACATTTAAAAAAAATATTTAAAAAATTTACACTTTAACAAGTGTCAGTTGTCACTAGCAGTGATAGGTTGCAAGTAGTAGATAGAAAGAGAAGAAAATTTATCCAATCTTCAAAACAAAAAATAAAAAACACAAGCAAAAACATAAAAAATTATTTTGCCTTCTCAGCTTTTAAAAACATATTACTGTTTCTCTGCTTTTTAAAACAATCAACTGAAAAAAAGTTACTAAACAAGCTTTTTAGTTTTTCTTTTTTTTTTTTAAAAAAAAAACCGTTTTCAAAACAAGAAACCAATCAAACCCTAAATAATTATTGATAAGGATGTCCAATTTCTTAGATTATTCCCAAAATAAGTGCAAACCAAGATGCTCTGCAACGTTGAATAGTTGCGTAAAAAAAATTTGTGGGCATCACTCTCAAATTTACTACGCAATGTTATGCCTCAATTTTATAAATGTTAAGATGTGTTTGGTACAAAGGATTTAGGAAGAAAAGGGAGAGATTTTAATCATTTTCTTTTATTTGACAACACATAAATTTTAAGAGCGGAGGTCTCCTCCCCTCTTTAACCTCCCTTTCAAAATTAAAAGGATTTAGAAGAAAAAAACAATATTTTGCTATGTTATAACTATTATACCCATATTTTGTCATGTTGTGACCATTATGTCTATATTTTGTCATATTATGACCATTATGCACATATCTTAAATAAAATAAGAGTAAAATTATCCACATTAAAATAGTTTTCCCTCCCCTCTCCTCTCTTTTCTTTTCTTTTTTAATAAATCCAAACAAGATAATATTAAAATCCTTCTACTCTCCTCCCCTCCCTTTCCTTCCATTAAAATCCCTCTCCTCCCCTTCCTCTCATTGAGCCAAACATACCCTAAACTTGGATTTCCCCTTGAATAGTTTCTCATTTCCCCCTGAATTTCTTTCACCACACCCTGGATCAGAGTCACATCACGTTATTGAAATAAGAAACTCAATAAACTAATTCGAAGTTTGACTTACACACGATATCCATCCCATTTTCAACGATCTTCAAAACTAATACAGACATTATCATAATTTGATTTGATATGGAATACCAAACAAGGCCTTGAATGGCAGAAATGCGTCCACTTTGGAAGGTGTTAGCTACCTAAATATCATGAAACACCGGAACAGGACTAAAAATTCAGAAAGGGAACAAGTCTGAGAGGAATGATGCACATATCCTGTATAAGGATATTCCAAAGAAACTATTTATATGAATAATAGTGAGAAGAATCCTAGAAACAGAGAATGATAGATACATGGGATAATGAGGCGGAGGAGGTTAAAAACATCCTTTTCGTCCATCCTGCGACTTCTTTATCAAACATTTAAACAAGACGACGGGAAGAAGTTCGAAAAAGACCCCAAAAAAGGACGAAATAATTTTGAGAACCGCAAAGTTGGAGGAATCATTCCTCAAACTCGTGCATGTGATCTAAGAGGTAGTTAGCAGCCAATTCTTCATTTTTGTTACAAGCAAAGTACACCTCCAAAACAAGTGCTCGATCAAATCCCATTGCTTCAAGCTGTGGCACAAAACAAAACAGAAGTCTAAGAGCATGGCTACTATAAACATCAGAGGAAATTATCATCACATAATCTGACAAACAATCAGCATAGCATCATGTCAAATTACTTTCTTAAGACGTATAATTTCACTCAAATTTAAAATTGTTCATAACCCCTTATAATTTTTAAATCAGGACCAAATGTGACTTTAAACAAATTTGGATTTGAATGCCAACAAAAGAAATAGGTGGCACCCTTAATTAGATATCAAAAGAGGAGGAAGCAATCAGGTACTTCAACTGAAATTTTCTTTCCCCCTTCCCCGGACAAAGAAAACGGACATTCAGTCCCTTGCATGGCAAACTGGTTTTAAACTTACACGTTCAATTGCTTGGCGCTCCTCAGGGGTGACAGCTATTGTTTGCGGCATGGCATTAGCCAGCTGCCCCAATATATTCCTAAAGTAAATAAATAGAAAAATGAGACACCTGACATGGGGCAAAAAGAGAATCCACTGCTGCCAAGAGCAGACAACAATAATGAAAGAAAACTAACAGAGAACAGCATAAATGATCTCTTACCCCTCACCACCTTCCACAGGTTCATTTATCAGGCGAAGGAAGTCAGCTTGATGCTCTTGAATCAACCTCATTAGATGAGGATTTTGTTTCCCAAGCTCTTGAAGCATAGGCTGCAAAAAGAACAACGTTGAGGAACTGCAAACAAAGAATAGAAAATTATACCATCACAATAAAGACCTGCAATATTTGTGGATTGGCCTGCACCATGGCTCGCAACGCTTGGAACTGCAACAATAAAAACACAAGTATAATTCAAGGCATACGGCACCAACTTTCTACAAATTTGACACAGATTGGAGGAAAAGATGATACCTGTTGACTGTTGCGCAGAAAATCAAGATTGCCAGCACCAGCAGCACCAGCACCAACATTTGGGAGACCCTGTTACATTCATGTTAGCACACCACCTGGGAAATCTCCAGTATCTTTCTTTGATTAAAAATCGGGGTAACAAACAAGAAGCAACAGCCACCTGAGGAAAGAGATCCAAAGGATTGGCATTAGGTCCACTTGAAGGAACAGGTGCAGGCTGTGCAGGTTGTGCAGCTTGTGCAGCTTGTGGAGCTGCGGAGGGAGCATCTCCAGCTTGGGCACCACTTGCAGGCGCACGAGCCACAGGGGCAGCTTCAGCTTGCTCGGGGATACCCTAAAGTTATAATTTAGAGACTTAAACCACAGAATTGAAAGTACAATAACAGTGAAGCCAAAATAATATTTGAACCACTAAGTTCAAAAGATTCCAGAAGATGATGTGGTTACAAGTCTATTTACTCTTATATATCAACTTTTATCTTTATCATTGACAGAATAATTTGCCAGACACAAAACGATCAGTTTATTCGTCAGCCATCACTAATACATAGAAAGAAAGACAATCATCAAATTATAAATTCTGGACACATAATTAAGCTAATAGTTAAATGTCTCTGCTGAGTTGGACACCTGAACTAGAAAATAATTAACATTAAAAAAGAGACAGGAATAGCTACAAGCATCAGAAATTCACATACCGAATACAAGTATTCCACAGCTCTCTCAGGGTTGTTATAAGCAGCACGAAGAGCTCGGACAACAGTATCCCTATCCCAGCTCCCTCCACCCATATCAAGAATTTGCTGGATTGTTCCCTCCAAGTTGGTCCCAGCAACAAGATTAGACGCTGCCTGCCCATAGATATCAGACCCTGACCTGCTCCAGCAACATATATATCAACATCAAACTCAAGAAAGAAAAACCCAAAAAACATGGGAAGAATATTGCCCTTGCAAAAATGCAAACATAGCAAACAAACAACACATGAAATAGAGATTTACACAGCAGGAGCTGGAGCTGGTGAAGGTGAAGGAGCAGGTGCAGGTGCAGGTGCAGGTGCAGTAATAGATGCAGGCCTGTCAAGTTGAAATGACAGATACATTTCACATCAAAATAGTTATACAATCTTATGCTTGAAGATATTTAGAAAAAATCAATGACTCACGGTGCCCCAGCTGTAGCAGGAGCTTGAGGTGCTGTTGACGCAGGGGCTGGCGTAGCAGCTGAACTGGTCTGAGGAGCCTACAACGGAAAAATAATGTTATCCATTAAATTCTTTAATACATAACAATATTTTCCACTGCATCATATCTACATTGTTATTATTTGTAGATGTGAATAGCCCCATCCTCAAATTCAGACAGAACTATTTTCCCATCCCTGGAGTCAAACCTTCACATAATGCCCATTCCTTTATAGATTCAGATCAATTTACCTGTAAAATTTTTAAAATGCGTGACACTCTTTCACATTAGGCCTTTTCTAAGAAAAATATATTCATATAAAATCACCAAAAGATTTTTATACTATTACTCAAACAACAAAAACATGAATCTAAATTATAGTCTCAACAATATTATCCTTGAATGTATCAAACAAACCAGATGATACATACATATTATATCTAGCAAATCTTCATTGGAAAGTTGTCAAATTCCAAGCCCAATGGGTAACCTTAAAGATCACAGTGAAAATCCCCAATTTCATACCATTTTCATCCCCACGCCCATACTCAAATAGGTTAATTTTGTGGTGACTCAAAAGGCATATGGGCTTTTTTTTTTTTTTTTTTTGGAAGGGAGGATGAAAATTGATTATTGAATCATTATATGAATTATCCATTAAAAGGTAAGTGGGAGAATACTAGGACAAAGGCCGGAATGATAATAGTAACGCTAGCAACATTTTAACAGGGAAAATTTTTCTCACCTTAACTGAAGGTGAAGTAGTAGATCCCTCACCTGATGAGCTCTTACTCTAGCATATTGTGAGGGCACACGTTAGAATTTAGGACTGAGAGATAATATACCACAAATTTTATACATATATATGACTTACTCCTACGGAACTGAGGTCGAAAAGATTGATAAATAGAACCATCTCTTTTTTATTTTCATTGATTTATTGAAAGATTTGTTTTCAATCGATTTGGAAATAACAAACAGATTACCACTGATGAAGGATTCCTCGAAAAGTTAAGGATTAGTAATCCTTTTTAAAATGAAAAATTGAATGGATTCGGTCTTATACATACGCGAGGAACATTGAACTATGTCTAGAAAAATCAGTCACTAGAAATAACTCCATTCCGAGTCAAACTAGAATAGAGAGTCAAGGCAAAAGGAAGAACTTCCAAAAATAACATTGAAGATCAAATAATAAACTTCGGGAAGGTTAAGTTTAAACAACAATTCGTGCACACAAGTTTTGCTGTGGCTATTAGCATAGATCTGCATTTGCTGGCAACGAATTAAAATTACAAGAGGACACATGAACGCAAATGATAAACACAGGATGGTTATGAACCACAAGGAGCCACAACTTGATGACAGGCATAACAACTAAAGTGACTGATGCTCAGTCTCCCTACAAAAATTCTCAGGAAAGGGGGAAAACCTTTACTTTTCCTTAAATTCTAGTTGAAATATCTCCAGCTCAAAATATTACCAAGTAGAATGACTGGGGAAAAAAAAGAAGAAAAAGGTTCTACTTCTGTAAGTTATTTTGTGCGCAACACTGCAACATCAATCAAGTCATCATTCAAAATATCAAGGTAAAAATGTAACATCAATCAAGTCATCGTTAAAAATATCAAGGTAAATGGTTCTTTTAAAAACTTGCTTATAAGGATTTCTAGTAAATTTTACGTCATGAGTAGTTCTCAGGATATGTCAAAATTCAGCGAATATGGGGCCAAAAAAACCAGTACGCCCCAAGCAAGCATTCAACACCTTTAGAACACAAAGGATCATTTTAAGGGGTTTTACTAGATGTGGAGGCAGAAATCCAGATGCATAGATAAGAGAAACAGTCTATAACTCAATGATAATCCTCGATCACTTGAAATTTCCTTCTATTTTTCAACTAACATCTCAGATTGTGATAGTTCAACAATGAAGATAAATAAACATAAGCGCACCAAATAAATACAAACAATTCTTGACAAATATATAGTTTTTCATGTTTAAATATTAAACATTACATATGCAACCTGAATGAAAACCCAAATCCACCAGAATAAATACAAACGGTTATGGAGCATAATTTGACAATATTAAAAATCGAAGTTAGTTTTAAGACAAAATACCTTTGATAGCATGATTACAACAAAACTGTTTTCAACTACTTCATTTTCCTCCAAGGTAGTACCATCTTTGAGAACTTTCCCTTGATGAATAAGCATTTGCTGTGCAGCAGGATAGACAGCTGCACCCTGGACAGTTTCTATATGTTTCTTCACTTCAGCAACCTGTATGGAAATTTACTCATATAATAAGGTTGCAGGTTATTCTATTTCCAGACATGAAACTAGACCGTCTAGCTGCAATTTCACAACACAAAATAAATTCACAATTCATAAAAACAGAAAGAACAGAACAAGATACAACTCCATAACTATCACATATAGGAATACGAACAACATGAAATAATGATAAAAAATTATCACATTTGAATAGTTCCTCTGATGGCTTAAAATCAGTATAAGATATTCAAAACCACTAGAGATTTTCCGCCAAAAGGGTAAGAAAATGTACATTTCCAAGATAAAGACGAACCCCACGTTGAAACAATTTTAATTTTCACATCTTATCAGCCAAATGGTTGTTGATCCCAGTGCCAGATGCAGGCAGTCCATACAAGTCAGATTTGCTCAACTTTGTAAAGTCAAAACGGCGAAACTCAACAACATCACTGATCGTCCAAACTTGCTAGTTGGCATTGTTAATTGCAAGAACCATGCCACCTTAACTACTGAATATACACAGTCAGTGTTAATTGTAGTAACCATGCCACCTCAACCACCAAATATGCACAATGGTTATAAAACAAAGTTCTAAGTACGATTCGATGACGCACATGAAAATCCCTCTAACAATTTAGCTGACAGAAATGGTGAAAGAATGATGATGGTTCCATTTAGGGGAAAAAAACAAAAAGTTCCACCAATTCATGGTCATATATTAGCAATTAAATTTATTTTAAATTCCAATGACGAGTGAAATTCAATTCCCAGCAAGCAAATGTCCACAATTGCCGCTAATTCACTATCACAAGTCAATATCACCAAAACTTTCCACGCAAGATTTCCCAATGCAACGCAAAGTCCAGATGAGCATCTACAAGACATTGCCACTGATAATATTACGTAGACAAAAGGGACCAACAGAACTAAACAATCAGCCAGCCAGTCAATTACGATTCAGAAGGTAACCATATTATACCGCCAATTTCGAATCAACCATCAAATTCATAACAATTAACACATCCAGGACCCATAATCAGAAACAACGCGGGGGAAAAAGAGAAAGAAGGAAAAACCCTAATTATCCCTCAGTTTCAAGGCTTCGCGAGCCAACCACAGACAACCAATGAATAAACGCAATTCGAAATACCAATAACACTGATATTCCGAACAAAAACGGGTAGAACAGAGAAATGAGCAAACCGTATTCTCAGGCTTGACATCGATTTCGAAGTTGGTGCCTTTGAGAGTCTTAACGAATATCTTCATCTTCTGATACTACTTCGCGATCCCCGACCGAACAGAATCGAAATTCAGAATTCGAAATTGACCGGAAGGGGGTTTGCTCCACTGATCGGCAAAGCTATATACCCTAACACAGAGAAAAGCCAGAGTTCCCAGGAAGCCAGGCGCAGAGAGTCTCCAAAAACTGCAAAAGGCGAAAGTCCACCAAAATGCTAGTTATTTATATATGAAGTCGTTGAGAGTGAGGCTCACGCGTTATGAGGAAATAAGAAGAACGCGCCAGAGTGTTTGACGACGTGGACGGATAATGGAGCGCGTGGCGTGGAAGAGCGAGGGAGAGGATGGTGGTTTAAGGAAGGGAATGGAGTGAGCTAGATTTTTGTGTCTGACACGGGAAGTGGGGGCAAGTTTATCTGATTCTCTTTGATATGGAAATTTATCCGATCACCGCTTGATTAACGATTCACCGTCGATCAGTTCACAAATCCTTTGGATAAATGGTTCCCGCGAATGATTTGAATCGGATTTAGAGGGTTTGATCGTACTTTAAAAAAGATACTCTCCCCCAAATCAAATCAAACTCAAAATTAATTTAAAAAATAATTTTATTTATAAAGATAGCAGCTGAAATCACTATCGGTCTCGATAAATATAACTGCTACTTGCTACAAAAGCTAAAATATATTTTTATAAAATTTCAACTTTCAGTCCGACTATATTAAATTTAATTTTCCAAAATAATTATAATTGTTATAAATAAATTATTATTTGAGACTAATAATTTAAAAATCAAATAACTAAAAATATACTTTAAAATATTAATAAACTAAATTCAAATCTTATATAAAATTAAAAGATTAAATATATACTTTTGCGTGTTAAAAATTTTAATGGTAAATGAGTAATATGAAGCTTATTGTCATTTCCTACACAATTTTAAATTTTTTACTCTTTTATTATGACACTTTTTATAATTACTTTTATTTCTTGGGATCAAACAGTCATTTCTGCAAAATAATAAGAAAAATTGTAAATAAAGACATTTAAATATATAAAATAAGAATTTAGATTCTTTAATTCACAAAATTACTACTAGAGACTGGTTTTTAAATATAAATTGTGAAATGTTAGATAAAAGATGAAAATGCCCTTTTTCTTCTCCTTCTCTTTTTTTCCATCTCACCTTCTCCTTCTCTTTTCTTCTTTCTTCCTCTCCTCCTCTTCCTTTCTTCTTGAAACGGAAATAGAATCGTTCAAAGCAATATTTCGCCATCAGTAAACCAGAAATATCCGTGGGAAACAAAAAATGCGTACCGGTCAAACTTATCCATTTAGCTTAGTTGATGCATATATAGTGTATTAATGTAATGAAAACAAAACTGAACTATATAGGAGGCAAAAAAAGGGAACTTCTGAAATTAAGTTTCACTTTCATACCAGACTGTCCATATATATATGAAGAAGAAGAAGCTAGAGAACGAATGATCGATGATGAGGAGATTATAAATAAGAAAGAGAAAGAGATGAATATTACTGACCTGTAATACCCCAAGGCTCAGACCTGTTAAGGCCAGCGTCGATCATGAGAGTGGAATCGGAATTATCAGTTTGTGACTTTCTTCATCAAGTATTCGCACACAAGTTCTTCATCTCTGGGATGGAACCTGAAACCTAGGGGCAACTTCGCCTCACCATGCTTATATTGCTCATATTGTTTGGAACGAGGAAGATGATCAAACAAGACATGAGAACTTCATGTGTGTGCTGTGAGAGCGAAATTAAAGGGGAGAGAGATATAAAGAGATATTAGATTATGAGGACAGAGGGAGGGTATGTATAAAATGGACAAGTTTGATTCGTACATCTTTTTGTTTTCTATTGATATTTCTTGTTTCTTAAGTAGTTGGGAATTGAGTATCATGAATTGGTAAGTTTATAATTAAAAATAATAAATTTGGTAATAAGTTGTTGGAAATAACATGTTAAGGACAAGGAATTGATAAGTTTCATATAGGAGATAACAAATTTATAATTAGAAATAACAAATTTGTTAGGTAGTTAAAAATAATAAGTTAAATATGATAAGTTGACAAGTTTTATATATGAAATAACAAATTTATAATTAAAAATAACAAGTTTGTGAAGAAGTCTGTCTTCAGTTTGGGAGGATGCTAGCTCGGGCATCAAATGGAGCATTGGAAACGGATGCCAAACTCGATTCTGGACAAATAACTGGATTGGTAATCATGGTCCGCTAAGGCGCCTTGCCTTTGTACCTCTTGAAGAATATGAATTACAGGAGACAATCTCCCAGTTTATAACCCCAAATGGCTAGTGGGACCGGAACAAGTTTGAGAATAAGCTCTCCCAAGAGACTGCAGAAGAGATAATTGCAACACCAGTACCTCTATGCACGGATCTGCCAACAAGGGGCTATTGGCACCTAGAGAGAAGTGGTGAAGTTTCAGTTAAACCGGCCTACAACCTACTCACTTAGAATGATTTAAATGAAGAAGAAAGTAAATGGATGCTAGCATAGAGATGGCCAGGACCGAATAGAATCAAAACTTTTCTCTGGCTAGCCATAGGAGGGAAGCTGCTAACAAACAGTGAGAGAACCAGAGGGCACATGACAAGTAACGCCTTCTGTGGGACTTGCAACTCAAGCACGAAAGATGTGGATCATGTTCTAAGACAATGCAAGCTAGCGGTCGAGTGCTGGAAACTAATCACGCCATCCTCTTACCTAACACGCTTTAGCTTGATTAGCCTTTCAGATTGGTTTCAGGAAAACCTCAGTTGTAGGAAGACCAACCCTCAATGGTGTGTCTTATTTGGAGTTTGTTGGAGGCTATGGCACGCACGCAACACTCTTATCTTCGGCAATAAGAGGACTTACAATTTCCGCTTGGTCAACGAGGCTATTTCTTTCATTGATCACATTATTACAGCCAAGGACTTCTGTAGCCAACTGAACTGACTCTAAAGTCTAGTGCTCTGTTTTTCTTTTATTTCGTTTGTTGTTTCTCACGCCTTTCGAGTTGTAGGCACCCTGTACATATCTTTGCTTAATGAAATCCTTTTCTACTCAAAAAAAAAATAACAAGTTTGTTAAATAGTTAGGAATAACAAGTTGAATATGATGAATTGACAAATTTTATAAAAAAATAACAAGTTTATAATTAGAAATAATAAGTTCGATGTAGAAAATAATAAGTTCCTAATCACCACTTGTTATTTTCTAATAATGACTTGTTATTGGCAAGTGATAAGTGTTCATATGGAAATAACAAGTCTTGCAAACTATTAATATTAACTTTCTTTAGTGCATAAGTTGACACTATTTTCAAAATTGTGTTGCCAATAACATGTCTTCATTAAAAAATAACAAGTCTTACAAAGCTGTTAACATTAACTTTCTTTAACACAAAAATTAACACTATTTTCAAAATTTAGTTGTCAATAACAAATTTTCATTGGAAAATTACAAGTCTCGTAAAGCTATTAACATTTACTTCTTTTAGTGTATAAATTGACATTATTTTCAAAATTTAGTTGCTAATAACAAGTCTTCATTGAGAAGTAACAAATCTTGCAACACTATTAACATTAACTTAATTTAGTGCATAAATTCATATTATTTTCACAATTTAATTGCCAATGATAAGTTTTCATTGGAAACTAATAAGTCTTCAAAAGCTATTAACATTAAGTTTATTTACTGTAGAAATTAACATCATATACACATAGTCTATGGTTACAAAATTTGCATACGAAATATCAACAATATTATCACTAATAACAAAAACAAAACCAAAATGTATTCATTTTAAACAAATAAAGTCTCTGTACATTATACACGGGCAAGTGTTCCAACATATCTGAGGTACTCCTCAGGTCATTAATATAGGACCCAATTGTCGAGTTGGTTTTGGTCCTAAATATAAGACTCATTTTTCATATTTATTAGTTTTTTCTAAATTACCCATATAGAAACTCCATCAATCATAATCAAGTAGAAGAGGAAGATGGGGTATTAAGAAATATTATTATGGTATTTTAGGAAAAACGTGTCACATTTCTTATAATTAACTAACTTATCTAACTTTCTTACTTTAATCAAATTAGTTAAATGGATCTTATATTAAAGATCAGAGAAGTAATTACATATTTCAAATTGTTGATAGACTAGTATTCTTTATTGATTTCAAGCGCTTTTGCTATGGTTGGCTACGTCATCCTAATTATCTTGGGCTGTGTCCTACTCTTGTGCTGCTTTAGCGTGCTTTTAGTTCGTGGTAGATTTTCAATGCACCTCTTGAGAATTGAATTTTGTTGCTACCTTTGTTAAATTTTCCGCTCAAAGAAACGTGTAATGTGTTGTTAGTCTGGAAAGCAAGCATTTTGGTACGGTAATAGTTACAAAAACCTCAAACTCAGTGAAAGGCCAAAGCGAGGTCTGCCACTCAGTATCGTAAATGTAAAGCTGTTTAACTGACTTTTAAAAAGAGCCGGTTTTCTAAAAATGTTGATTTAAAACACCCCCAAAAAAATGGTGGTTATTTAGTTTCCTTCATCATCTAAAATCCTTGGAATGCAGTGGGAAATAAGATATTTAGCTGCCAATAACAAGTTTGATATAGGAAATAACAAGTGTTGAAAAATTATTCACCTTAATTTAAGTTTTATTAAAAATTGGTATTATTTTCATAATTTAGTTGATAATAACAAATCTGATATGAAAAATAATAAGTGTTGAAAAACTATTTATTATAACTTAAGTCTTATTAGAAATTAATATTATTTTCACAATTTATTTGCCAATGAAAAGTTTAGTATGAAAAATAACAAGTGTTGAAAATCTTATTATCATAATTTAAGTTTTATTATAAAGTGAGATTATTTTCACAATTTATTTGTCAATAACAAGTCTAGTATGGGAACTAACAAGTATTGAAAAGTTATTCACAAATAACTTAAATTTTATTATAAATTAGTATTATTTTCACAATTTATTTGTCAATAACAAGTCTAATATGAAAAATAATAAGTGTTAAAAAAATATTCATATTAACTTAAATTTTATTAGAAATTAGTATTATTTTCATAATTTAGTTGTCAATGACAAGTAAAATAACAAGTGTTGAAAAACTATTTACATTAAGATAAGTTTTAGCAGAACTATTTTTCCTA